CTTTCCCACATTAGGGTTTTTATCCAAAATATTTACCCCTAAGTTTAATGGCGTGAAAATATATAGCCTAAAGCGTGACGTAAGTGTAGGACTTTTTACTAAAAAAGAGTTATTCAAAAATATGCTGTAATTGCTGACATCTTAGGCAACAAAGAAATGTGTGTTTACGCTTTATTATAATAGTATAGGGGGGTAAGGGGAAACGGTAACAACATCTTAACCGACCCAACTGTCAACCTCACCTGCGCGCGTTGGTTGTAGTTTTAAACAACCAACGGCGGTGGTCTACTACATCTGACCACCGCGGTACCCCCTGCTAGACAACAGACGAGGCTCTGGCGACCGAGCAATGGCGGTATAACCATACACCCATGTGGACAACCATTTGGATGAGGCTACAGCGGCCTTGAAGGCTAAATAACTTCTTAAAAGTCTAATGCAGAAGGCAACGGGAGACCACTGCATAATATTATCCCTAGTAATCAGTTATCCATGGAAAAGTCGAAGAATAGAATGGCCCCGAGTTCCTGGCGTCCCTTTAATGGGACAGGGGTGCGAAGAATCTCCAGGCGGAAAACAGAAGGAAAAACGTTAAGATTAGGAACATGGAATGTGAGAAGTTTGAAGAGTCCAGAAAAAGTCCACAATGTATGCAAAGAGATGATACGTTTAAGAATTGACATATTAGGTATCAGTGATGTTAGATGGAGGGGAAATGGTAAATACCAGATAGATGAAGACCACATTATGTACTACTCTGGCACCGATGACACCTCAAATAAATATGGAGTAGGAATTATTGTAAACATAAAATCCTTAAATACTACGTATAGCTTTTTACCTAACTCAAACCGTACCATGTTGCTTCAACTACAGGCCAAACCTAGAAATATTAATATTATTCAAGTGTATGCTCCCACCACTGATGGTACAGATCAAGAAGTTCAGGATTTTTATAGCGAAGTCGAACAGTTGCTTAAATTAACAAAAAAACATGAAGTTAACCTTGTTATGGGTGATATGAATGCTAAGGTAGGAAATGTGGAGGTACAAGGTGTAACAGGAAAGTTCGGTTTGGGTACAAGAAATGAAAGAGGAGAGACCTTTGTACAATTTTGCCAAGAACATGACCTAGTCGTAATGAATACCTTTTACCAACTACCACCGCGAAGATTATATACCTGGACATCACCACGACACAGCCCACAACACGTAATTAGGAATCAAATTGACTATATTACTATAAACAAACGTTTCAGAAACAGCATTAAAAACACAAAAACGTATCCGGGAGCAGACATCGGTTCGGACCATAACCCACTTATCGCCACAATATCGTGTATACTCAAGAAAATTAAGAAAAAGATAATAAATTTTAAATGCGACATAACAAAATTCAATGACACTGATACTAAAGCTAAAATGAAAGTAGAAATAAACAAATGGGCAGCAGAGATAAAAACACAGGCGATTAGTTCATCTGAAGAGACATGGAGGTCACTAAAAGCTAAAGTACTAGAAATTAATAAGAGCTATCTAAAGAGAGACTGGGCACCTAAACAAGCCTGGATGACAGAGAAAATTTACAAACTCATGGAAGAAAGACGACTTTATAAAAATACCAATGTCACTAAATATAAAGAGCTACATCGTACAATACGAAGAGAAGCTCGTTTTGCTCGTGAGTCTTGGTTTCGGCATAAATGTGAGTGTCTAGAAAATCTATATAAAAAACATGACGCATTCAATCTACATAAAGAAATAAAAACCCTGATGGGTCACAAAATGCACACAAATCGACTTGTAGACGAACATCACATCCCCATCTTAGATATATCTTTGAAAAAACAAAAATGGGAACGATATATAAAGTCTTTGTTTTATGATGACACTCGCAGCGAAGAAGTAGTTTACACAACCACCGAAGGATACTCCATTATGCCGGAAGAGATTATAAGAGCTCTGAGTAAAGCCAAGCGCGGAAAATCACCGGGACCAGATAATATTAACATCGAAGTATTGAAGCTCATTGAAGAAGACAACATCGAGGTTCTCGTTAATTTCATGAATTCAATATACGACTCTGGTGAACTGCCTCATGATTGGTTAAAGTCAACGTTCGTCACGCTTCCAAAAAAAGCGAATGCGAAGAGATGCGAGGACTTCCGAACGATTAGCCTCATGAGCCAAGTGTTGAAGGTATTCCTCAGCGTCATTCATGAGCGTATAAGGACGAAGTGTGATGACCAACTTGGTGACAGCCAGTTTGGCTTTCGTGCAGGCGTGGGTACCAGAGAAGCTCTCTTTGCAATACAGGTTCTGGTTCAGAAGTGCAGAGACATGCAACAAGATGTTTTCATTTGCTTTATCGACTATGAAAAGGCCTTTGACAGAGTCCTACACGACCGCCTAATAGTACTTTTACATGACACCGGGTTAGATGACAGGGATATCCGAATAATACAGAACCTGTATTGGAACCAACGAGCTAATGTCCGAGTGGAAAATGATGTTACAGATGATGTCGAGATTAAAAGAGGAGTGCGTCAGGGTTGTTTCTTGTCACCAATGCTGTTTAATTTATACTCGGAAGCTATAATGTCAGAAGCATTACATGACCTAGACTGCGGAGTTAAAATAAATGGACGTAATATAAACAACCTTCGTTATGCTGATGACACAGTGCTGATAGCGTCCTCATTACAAGATCTCCAAAAGATTCTCGATCGAGTAAATCTATTTAGCATGAAAGCGGGCCTAAAAATGAATGTTACCAAGACAAAGCTTATGGTTATATCTCGAAAAGAAGTTAACGACGACTGCATAATAGTGAATGGTCAAAAGTTGGAGAGGGTGCGCAAATATAAATACTTGGGTACGTGGCTAAGTGAAGACTGGGAAAGCGACC